GTGGGGGAATCTCCACGGTCTTTTCATTGCGTTGTTTCCATAGCCCCTCGTATAACGCCCACGTGCTATCTGCGTGTAAGCGGGACGGTGGTCCTCGATTGACAGGACAAATGCATTTCAGACATGGGCAGACCCAAGACTTGGTGGGACCGAGGGAAGCCAGTAGTATCCTCCCGCAGGGTGCAGCGTTGCAGCATTAAACTACCCTGAACAATGACTCAAGGTCTCCTCTGAGGAGATTTAAGTGGATCTCCAGCCCCAGCCATGCCATTTTCTCCCAGGGAGGTGACTTATTTTCACTCCTCGGAGAATATTTTATGAAACTTGGAAAGATGATATATTTTGGTTTACATCATCGCTTCCTGTAAGAGGCCCAAGGCGCGCTCCATATATCACGTGCCATTTATCTTCTCCAGAACCGCGAGGCTGGGTGTAAAGGGCCTTGCTAGATGGAGGAAGTTAAATGGCCTAGCCCGTTTAACTGTGCCGTAGTGGCACTGTTAGGTAAGGGTTAAGATGTTTTTTTTCCTCTCAAGTGATCATGTGTGTATCTGAGGCTCAGCCCCGGGGCTGAAAGATAAAATGTTTGTTAGGATGAAGACACTCCCTGGGGTGCAAGCCCTGGGGTTTGGTTTTTAGGTTTAAAAACTGATTGGATGGAAGTTGGCAGAGCCGGTGACCAGTTTCCCACTCAAAGATCCATACACAGCTGTTTCAGCTACTTCATGGCCAACCCGACGGTGCGGTGCCCCCCCTGTCTCCTGTTTCCATCCCACCACCCTGCACCTCCCCTATTCCTAACCCTTCTGAACACTGCCCATGGGCCAGTGCTGCCCTTTGGGTCTCTAGGTGGCTCTAAGGTATGCGCACCTCCCTCGTGGTGTGAATTCCCTTAGAGACCTGCTTGTGGTCTGGCTGAACGTGGGACCACGGGGCTGAGTTCAGTTCTTGACCCAAAGGGGGATGAAGGGCCGGGCCCTCAGGGTCTCTGCTGGACCAGGAAGCCTGGTCTCTGCTGCAGATTGGTAGAGCTAGGAAGTCCCAAGTGTGAGAGCTATGGATTTGCATTTGTTACGAGATCTACAGGTGAGGGGAATGGGCAGGCTGGTGGGAGAGCCCCTGCCCGGGCTGCATCAAGCCCAGGGGTGGATCACGATGGCTGGCCCTCTCCTGCCTGCACTGTTGAGCAAGGAGCCCTGCTGGCGTTGTGCAGAAAGGCCTGGTGACCTGTTTCTGCCAAAAAGCCTGGGACACCAGAGGGGGCAGGTCTCCTTGGTCACCTAGGGATGCCAAGAGTCAGACTCCACCAGACCAAAATAGCACCATCATCATCGACTCTCGGTAGGGTGTGAAGATGACTGATGCCGGCGTTGGACTTGAAGATGACCTTCAAGGAACTGCTTTGGAGGGAGCCCTGGTCTAGTGGTGATGCCTTGTTCTGCTTTCCGTAAGGGCAACAGTTCAAGTCCACCAACCAACCCCTCTGTTGGAGAAAGAAGAGGCTGTTTGCTCCCGTAAAGAGTGACATTCTCAGAAACCATGTGAGTTGAGTCGATTTTGAGGGTGAAGGGTGGGACTGTGGCCCGGCGGTCACTAGTCAAGGACTTTGGAATGGGCCAGAGACCCCAGAACTCAAACTAAAAGTCTCTCTGGCCCAAGCCTCGTTTGACAGATTTTCAGAAGCCACGGGAGAGACGCTTTAGCTCACGGAGCCTGAATCTCAAAGATGGAGAGCAGGCAGTTGTTGGAAGAAAGGTTTCTAGACCACAGTCAAGCTCCCCAAGGCGTTAGACATTCCTGCCTCCGATTGTCTGTACAACCGGATCCTGAGTGGGAGCCGAGCCCTAAACAGTGATTCTAACCCCTGACACCTCGCTGCTGTCACGTAGATTCTGCTGCCTGGAGACCCTACAGGACAGCGTCGGGGAGAAAGACGAGGCCGTCTGCTTCCGTGAAGATTTGAAGTCTCAGAAACCCCCCGGGAGAGTTCTGCCCTATCCATTGAGTCGGCGTGGACTTGATGGCAGTGCGTCTGAGTGTGGAGGGCAGTGGAATCCCCCGACCCATCGATGTTCAAGACTCATCTTTACAGAAGCGCATAGTCCCATATCCCTCTGTGGGTGGGTTCAAACCCCCCGCCTTGTCTGCAGCAGCCCGACCCCACACCCATGGTGCCATCACGCCTCTTTAGCCTTAGGACACGTTCCACGGAAAAGAGGAGGACCCTCAGCAAGGTGCAGTGAGCCCGTGGCTGCCACAGTGGGCTCCGATAGAGCAGCAGCTGTGGGGAAGGCCCAGGAGCAGGCCGGCTTCCTTCTGTTGTGTGAGGCTCACCGTGAGTCAGCACCCACTCATCACCATGGAATGAGAGACTTCCCCTAAGAGTCCTCCCTGTCAGTGCAGTAGTTGAACGCCCAGCCACCAATCAATAGGCCGGTGGTTCAAACCCACCAGCTGCTGCACGGGAGAAAACACTGGGGACTCCGGTTGGTGGGAGATTACCACACTATACCCACTGCCGTGGGGCCAATATGGCTCATGGCGCCGCCGCCTGGCTGGGTAGGACTGCCCCTTGTGTTTGCTGGGCTGCCACCTTCACGGGAGCTGATCGCTGGTCTTTGCCCCTAGAGCTGCTGGGTGGCTTCGAACCACCAACCTTTGGGTTAGCAGCCTGACTCTTAGCCCCTCGAGCCTCCATCCTTGTGGGAAGGCCCTTCTGACTCCATGAGGATCCCACCTCCGCACGAGCCCTCGCTGCCTAAGCCGCCCGCCCGAGGAGGCTGGCCACTCATTCGTGGGTGAGGGACACCCTATGATGACCTTGTGTGGAGTGGCCACCGTCTGAATGAATAAGGGCAACAGCTGCAAAGTCCCCGGGTGGCTGACCCTGGTCTAAAGAGGTCACACTTGCTAAGTCCTGCCCCCCAGGGGCCTGGCAGTGTCCAAGGGGTAGTGGCAGACTGGGAGTGGTGGTGGTGTGTTTTTGTTTCGGTCCCTTTGGCCGCCCTGGGGTAGGTTCAGGTGGGGGCTAGAAACTGGTCGGTTGGCTGTGGATTCTGGGCCTGGGGCTTGTCCCCCTCCCCCTCCCCACCCCTACCAGTCACCACAAGCCATTCGGCTCCCAGGTTACCTCCCACCCCACTGCTACATGGCCAAACCAGGGTGGCAGTCAGTGCCTGTGGGCTGGGTATCAGGGGCGCTATGTTCAGCGTATCCTTGCCTGCCAGGCCCATCCTTTCCCTCAGACCCCCTCAGGCCTGGGGCCGTGTCCCAGGCTGTGTACTGTATGAGTTGGCTCCTCTAGGCCTGATGGATGATTTAGTGGGGTGTGTTTAGACTAAGGGAGTCCAGTGGGGTGGAAGGAGCCCTGGTGACAGAGCAGGCTAAGCTTGAGCTACCAATCACAAGGTCCATGGTTCTAACCTACCAGCTGACCCTTGGGAGCTGTCCGCACTGAGGCTGCCCGCACTGTCTTGGAGACCCTCTGCAGTGTGGGTGTGTGTTAGGGCCCACTGGACGGCAGTGGGTTTGTTTTGGGGTGGGGTTTCCAGAAGAGCCCAGGTGGCCCCATGGGGGCTTGAGCTGCAGAAGGCCACCCGGCCACCAGCCCCCGCAAAGAAGACAGTGCACAAAGCCCTCCGGGGCAGCTCCAGCGTGCCCTGCGGGGCCGACACAGTTTAGCGTCCACTCCAAAGCAGGAGGTTTAACTGCTAAACATGTTTAATTGAGTGCTAAGCACCTTACATACCGGGAGGCTTCACAAAATGCAGGGAAACGTCCCAGGATCTTCTCATCCCATTTTCCCATGAACTTTTGTGTGCTGCAGAGGAGCCCTGGTGGTGTAGTGGGTAACGCATTGGGCTTCCAGCTGCAAGGTCAGCAGTTCGAACCCACCAACTGTTCCCCTGGAGAAAGACGAGGTTTTCTGCCCCCGTCAAGATTGGTAGCCTCAGAAACCCGCAGGGGGCAGTTCAACTCTGCCCGCTCAGGTCATGATGAGTCGGAGTGGACTTAATGGTGGTGAGCGATACAGACAGGTGCTGTGCTGATGGCACAGCGCTCCGTTACCTAAGGCCGGTAGTTCAAACCCACCTGGGGGCTCTCTGGGAGAGAACCTAGCGAGCTGCTGCTACAGTGATGGCAGCCCCGGGACGGTCCTCGTCACATGGGGTCGTGGGGCGATGATATTTAGCATTTCATTGTGTTTCATGTGACCACTGCGATGGATGTCGAGGAGCCCTGGTGGCATAGTGACTGCCTGCTGGGCTGTTAACCAGAGGTCAGCAGTTTGAACCCACCAGTCGCTCTGTGGGAGGAAGAGGAGGCGTTCTGCTCCCATAAAGCACTGCAGTCTCAGAAACCCACAAGGGCACTTCCACCCTGTCCTTCATGTCACTGAGTCAAAGTGCACTCGGCGGCAGTGAGCTTGGCTTCTCTTGCACTGCTGTGATCTATGGTTGTGGGGCAGTCAGAGAAGGCAACACAGACGAAGAACCAAAGTTCGGCACTAGGCGGCATGGTCACCCCTGAAGGGGATGGGGTGCCCCCCAGTCCCCTCTCAGGAGCGAGGAAAGGTAACTGCTTAGAGTTGCTTCAACGCCCTACAATTCTTTTTTTTTTTTTAACTGTAAATTGCCATCCCAGGCTGGTTGTAAAATTATCTCATGGTATAGGTGCGCTAGCTAACACATTAGTGGGCGTAAATTATTTAACGAAAGGCCTTATTTCTATTGCCTGCTCTGGTTTGCACTTTGAAGATGGATCCCTGAAGCGATTCGCGGGGATTGGCGTGGAAGAAAAGGGAAGGGAAGATGACTTTGAAGCAGAGCTTGGCAGATGAGAGCCTGCTTCTCCTTGGGCTATGGCTCTCGCCACAGCACTTTGAAGCAGGAAGCTCCCGTTTTTAAGGATGTATTTCTGCCACTGGCTGCGGAAATTGGAAATGATAGTCTAACCCCTGGAAGCTGGAGGGAGAAGGAAACTGCCTCGCGCGTCGAGCTCAGTGAGCGCACCCTGTCAACAGAGGAGAGTATGGGAGCCTGGAGATCTCCAGGTGAGTCCCGGCCCTCCCTCGCAGGTCTTACTACCTGCTCCTCCCCTGGGGGTGAGCTCATTGTCTGGCAATTTGCATGAACACCACAGTCATCCGCCATCCAGTCATTTTCCATATTAGTGTCTCAGTGGTGTGCACCTTGATGGGGGCTGAGAGCAAAGCAGACACTGATGAAGAAGGTTGTGTGTCAGCTTGGCTGGGCCGTGATTCTCAGCGCTTTGACAATTCTGTGAGGATGAGGTTTGGCAGTTCTGTGATGATTTGGCAGTTCTTTGTTGATATCGTCAGGTGGTTTTGTGATAATGAGGTGCAGTTCTGTGATGAAATTTGGCAGTTCTTTAATGTGACTTGGCAGTTCTATGGTGAAATTTGGCAGTTCTGTAATACCATCAGGCAGTTTTTAATGTGACCTGTCAGTTCTGTGGTGATAAACTTTGGCAGTTCTGTGATGAAATTTGGTCGTTCTATAATGATACACTCAGGCAGTTCTTTAATGGGACTTGGCAGTTCTGTGGTGAAATTTGGCAACTCTGTAATGATACGATCTGGCAGTTCTATAATGTGACCTGTCAGTTTTATGGTGATGGCCTTTGGCAGTTCTGCGATGAAATTTGGCAGTTCTGTAATGATACCATCAGGCAGTCCTGTAATGGGACCTGTCAGTTCTGTGGTGAGGTATGTGATGGTGTAGTCACCCCCCATCTTGTGCTCTGACGTGGTCATCCTCTTTTCTCAACTCCTCCTCCAACTTTCATATCATGACCTGGTGCTGATGAGTGAGGAGTGGGGACGCATGAGATCAGATGGCATGTGGTGAGTTGGGAGCTGGGGGCAGGGCTGGGGGCTCAATCCTTTCTTCCTCCTCCCGCCCCCTCAGGAGGCACAGAGAGCCCCCTTCTCAGTGTGCTGTGTTCTCGTCAGAATGGTGGAGGGTGACAGCTAATTTCTTACTCACTTGCTAATTTTTCTCACTTCCCTCTTCTCCAGGCTCCATTTCTCTGTAGCTTCCCAGCACCGTGAGAGCCAGGTTTTGTTGTGGGGTGCGTGTGTGTGTGCGTGTGCGTGTGCGTGTGCGTGGTGTGTCTGCTGATGATTCATTACCGCAGGATCAGGCTGATTAGTGGGCCAGCATATGCTCTGCCTTTGGAATGCTCTGGTCCCTCGCCGACTGCTTGTTTTATTTAGCTCGTGGGACATGATGCTGGAACCAGCGAGGACCTGGACAGTCACCCAGTGGCGATGAGCTCACCGTGTGACTTCTTCTTAGGGCTGAAAATAACTCTGATGCGTTTCTGTGTCATTGCTGGAAAGAGTATACATTTCATATCTCTCAAGAGAAGAAAGGGCTCTTAAATTTCACATCACGATGATGCGGGGAAATCACAGGGCCTGTTTCGGTGGGTTTCTCCTTCCTGTTTTTGTTTTTTAAGGATATTTTAATCCTGGGCTTGCGCATTTGTGGGTAGACGAGAGTGGAGCCTGCCTTCCCTTCCTGGAGCCACATGTGCACGAAGACATGGCGCGCTGCCCTCGGGTGGGTGTATAGCGGACGTGCTCGGCGCCTAACGGGAAGGTTGGAAGTTGGAGTCATCCAGAGGTGCCCCGGAAGAAAGGCCTGGTACCCTCCCTCTGAAGACCCCATCCTCAAATCAGGGGGCCACACCTGGTCTCAATGCTCCTGGAGCAGTAGAGGACGAGGGGGAGTCAGGAACAGGAGGGGCCGTGGAACGTGAGCCCAACTGCCACCGGAATCAACTGCTTGAGGCCCAAAGAAGCTGGAGGGTGGCCAGGAGTCCTGGCTGGATGTTGTGGACAAAAGCTCTGAGGAAACAGCCCAGACCCAATGGGAGGAGGTCACGCCAGGCAGAATCCCACATTACTGTGGAGTCCAGAGTCTCTGGAGCAACGGAAGCTGGATGAACTCCTGGAGGGGTGCTCCGAGATCATCTTTAAACCTCAAGCTCGAACTGCTCCTGAAGTGGTCTTAACCATTTCATTTAACTAAACCTTCACTCGTAGCTAGTGAAGAGTGCCTGCCTTGAGCGGCGTGCCTTTTCAAGGACCACCCGCAGGAGATCAAGTGGACGGTGGCAACTCGAGAGCTTTGGCAGAAGCTCTGAAGGCCATGAGTTGGTGTTCTTGGGGGACGAGCGACTCAGAAGAGGGGCCGAGGAGGGCTGCACCCTGGGAGAAGGCCATCAGTACCGCTGAGTTGCGTGTTCTCAGCACCACCACCACCACAATCCATTGAATGAGCAGAGGAAACTCCGTAGAGTATGTGTTAGTCTGGGTGGATAGAGAAACACCCAGAGGCACTGTTATGTGTATAAGAAAGAGCTTTATATCAAAGAGCAATTGTACATTAAGAAAACGTCCCAGCACAGTCTAGATCAAGTCCGTAAGTCCGATATGAGCCCATATGTCCGATACCAGTCTGTAAATTCCTCTTCAGACTCACAAAATACATGCAGTGATGCCAAGGGCAGGAAGATCACAGGCCAGTGGGTGGAGAATCTTGTGGATCCAGTGGCGGTGGAAGCATCTCAGTGCTGACAGGGGTTTCCACGTGGCTCCTCCAGCTCCAGGACTCTGGCTCCATCAGTGTAGCTCTATGTGGCTTGTCAACAGGAATGTGTAGCAGAGTGTGTCTCGTGAGCTATTTACCTCTGTCACACCTCCCAATGAGGTCATCGAGCTGCGACCTGATTAACAGGCTAAACTCCACCCCTTCACTCTTAATAGTCTCACGTTGACACCCGGATTATGTAACTACAGCAGAGCGCAGTTCTACTGGGACATGCTTGGGGTATGTACAATGGGGCTGACCTGAGGCGGGCTGGGGAGCCATGGCCGCAGCCTTTACTGGGACCACAGGGTTTGGGGAACACACTTACTGAGTGGCAACATCTTCTCCAGGTCGTTCCTCCTATCAGCAGTGTAGCATCAAATAAAGGCGACGAGGTGATGCAGCCTCTCTTTGAGCCCTGGTGGTGTAGTGGTTACACTTGGGGCCACTAACCTCGAGGGTCAGCAGTGGTTCGAAACCACCAGCCATTCCTCAGGAGAAAGCTGAGGCTTTCTGCGCCTAGAAGGAGTTACAGTCTCAGAAGCCCACAAACCCGCTTTCTATCCTGCCTTAGAGGGCTGCCGTGAGTCCAAATTGACCCAATGGCAATATTGTTTTGAGAGGTGATGCAGTGGGTTAAGCAGTAGCCTGCTAACTGCAGGGTTGGGTTCAAACCCACCAGCCGCATCTAGGGAGAAAGATGAGGCTGTGTGAGGCTCCCCAGACATCAAAAACCCTTGAGCAGTTCTCTCTGCCCTGTAGGGCCATAGTGAGTCAGAGTCCACTCCTTGACAGTGGGCGTGGGATTTGTCGTCACCGGGTATTACTGTCCACTGGATGGCAGTGGGTGTGGAATTTGATGTCACCCAGTGTTACTGTCTACTGGATGGCAGTGTGCTTGGGATTTGATGTCATCAGGTGTTAGTGTCCCCTGGATGGCAGTGGGCGTGGGATTTGACGTCATCGGGTGTTACTGTCCACTGGATGGCAGTGGGCGTGAGATTTGACGTCACCCGGTGTCACTGTCCCCTGGATGGCAGTGGGCATGAGATTTGACGTCACCCGGTGTCACTGTCCCCTGGATGGCAGTGGGCGTGGGATTTGACATCACTGGGTGTTACTGTCCCCTGGATGGCAGTGGGCGTGGGATTTGACATCACTGGGTGTTACTGTCCACTGGATGGCAGTGGGCGTGGGATTTGACATCATCGGGTGTCACTGTCCCCTGGATGGCAGTGGGCGTGGGATTTGACGTCACTGGGTGTTACTGTCCACTGGATGGCAGTGGGCGTGGGATTTGATGTTACTGGCTGCTAATCGTTGAGAGGTGCTGCAGTGCTCAGTCTTGGGGCCGGGTCCGCACAGAGACCCTCACTCCACACTGTCGAGTCAGCCTTCCAAGGGCTCGGGTGCCTCTGCTGCCACACCCTCATCCTTGGCACCTAGCCACCTGGTCTTGCTAAAAAATGGAAGGTAAGAGTTTATTCAGATGCTTCATAAAACGTGTTAAATTGGGAAAACGGTTTCCTTTGTGTGCGATAAGAGAAGAAATTCTCTCCCAGAGAGTCTTATCTGTGGTCAGAATGAGAAAATGACGGAGGGGAGTGGGCAGGAGGGCTTTGGTATGAACATTGTGCGTGGTTCACCACGGTGTTGCTGCCCCATGAGACCAGGCAGGTCTCCTTCTGCTGTGCACAGGGGCGCTGTGGCGAGCCGGACCCGGGTGCACCGCCTCTCACACCACCAGCCCCGAGTGTGGCTGACAAGCCGCGACCTGGCGCGTTTGGTGACTGTTTCCATCTTCAAGGTCTTCTTGAGGGTTTTACACGTGCATCCTGTGTGTGTGTGTGTGTGTGTGTGTGTGTGTGTGTGTGTGTGTGTGTAAAAGCGAGTCAACAGATCAGTCTGCTGGACATAAGCCCCTCCGTGTGGCAGGGCCTTAGAGACTGACAAGAGTCCTGTGTCTTGTGTTGTGATTTGTAATTGTTGTCATTTGGGGCCCTCGAGCTGCTCTGGACACACGGTGACCTGTGTGACAGCATAGAACTTCCTCATTGGGCCCCTGGGTGTAGAAGCACATTGCCCGGTCTTTGAATCTGAACCGCCAACATTAAGCTAGCAGCCAACTAACCAAAGGTGCTTTCACTACCCACACCCACCCCAACCAAGCCCACTGCTAGTCAGTGGGTTTAGACGTGTCAGGACCCAGTGCAGGGTTTCTGAGGCGGTACATCTAACTGGGGGCAGACAGCCTCACCTTTTTGCCTCTGAGAGGCTGGTGGGTTTGAACCGCCAACCCTGTGGTTAGCAGCCCAACACTGACTTTTCACTACCAGGGCTCCTGACATGAGGGACAGAGACAACCTGCAAGCACTGGGCTCTCAGGGCCATCCTGGACTTGCATTCCTCATTTCATCTGAGAAACAGGAAGGGCAAGTGGAATGTAAAGAATGGAATTTCCCTATCACGTTTTGAAGGCCGCTCTGCGGGGGACCAAGAGCCAAGCACCCCAAATTCCTGCCCTCGTGATGCTTACCGTAAACAAATGCAGAACCCCCAAACCCAACTCACTGCCACTAAATGAATTCCAACTCAGAGCGACCCCCGGGAGAGGGTCGAACAGCCCCCGTGGTTTTCCAGGCTGTCGCTCCTTACAGGAGGAGACAGCCTCATCTCTCTCCCATGGGGCAGCTGGTGGATTCGAACTGCTCACATTACCATTAGCAGCTCAGTGCATAAGCCACTGGGCCTGCGTGGGGCTGCTGATGTCTGGGTCAGTGGTCTGGTCCCTGGGTTACTCTGAGGGATGAGGCGAGGCTATCTAATCCTGCAGGGAGCTACATTCTCAGCAGCCGTTGGGTGGCTTTGAGTGGAAGTCGGCTGGGTGGCACAGGGTGTGGTTTTAACTACATTCTTGAAGTCGTGCACCCATTCTCACCCTTCTTTGCTGAGTGATTTCCCCCCCTTCACCTGAACTCACTGCCGGCAGTTTCTATCTAGATGCAAGTCAGTAGTTCAAACCCACCAGCTGCATTGAGGGAGAAAGATGAGGCTGTCCGCTCTGGGAAAGAGTGACAGCCTTGGAAACTAACAGGGACAGTCCTACACTGCCCTATGGGATGGTCGTTTTGTGTTGGAGGAGATTAGACAGCAGTAAGAGGTGGCAACGCTATGGGTTAGGTGCTAGGCTGTGGACTGCAAAGGTTGGTGGTTCAGATCCACCAGCATCTCCTGCTAGAGAAAGACGGGGCCACCTGTTCTGTAAAGATTTACAGCCTCAGAAACTCTACTTAAGGTCACTAGGCATCAGTCTCCTGGATTGCACTCCTTTGGGAGGTTTATGATTTGCTTTCAAGACAATCGGAGGGGCCGTTTTTATGGAAGGTTAAAGATCATCTCAGGGCCATAGTTTCCAGGGTTCATCCAACTCCCCAAGCTCCAGGAGGTTTGGGTTCCTTGAGAATCAGGAAGTCTGCCCTGCATTTCCCTCCTCGTGATCAAGATTCTTCTTAGAGCCTGTGACCAGAGCGGTCAGCTCTGGTGGCTGGGCACCCTCGAGTTCTTTGGACCTCAGGGCCCAGCCAACCCTCTGAACATTGCCCGCTTGATGGTGAGGCCTCTCTCCCCATGGGGACGCGTGCTGGTGGATGCTGACTCCCAGACTGAACTCTCCCGGAGGAATCACACCACCAAGTGGAAGCGTTATTCTCGGTTCGTTCATCTTCCCGAGGGTCTGGTGTACGTCTTCAGGATGTGAAGTCTCACTGTCATGTTATTTTGTTGTTTTGCACGTTTCCTAACGCAGAGCCAGAGCCCGGGCTGTATCTCCAGGGATCTCTCCATCTATTTCTGGGCTCCGACTTGAAGCGTTCCGTCATCCTTAATGGGGTGGGGTGAGGGGTGCCTTTAATTGCCCTCATGCGCCTGCTCCCTGCCTGGACCCCGTAGGGTCCTGTGGGCCGTGGTTAGCTCTCCCATAGCTTCCTGAAGTTCCCCCACCCACCAGCAGCCCCCATTCCCACCTTGCCTAGCAGTGGGGGTCAGTGTGTGTCCCACGGGGACCTTTTCCCACTGGCACCCCAGGAATGGCCCTGTTCTGAAGAAGGTGGCTGAGCCAGGGTGGCTCCAGAGGAGCAGTCTGTGTTGATCCCCGGGTGGCCCACAGGGTGAAGCGCTCGACCTCCAGTGAATGGCCAGCTCTTCCAACAGGCCAGAGGCACCTTGGAAGATAGGCAGGCCTGGTGATCTGCTTACTAAGGGCCCCAGCTTTGAAAACTCCCCGGAGCAGCTCTTCCCTGCCTGCAAGGGGCGGCCAGGGGTCTCGAACTGCATGATGGCCAGTCTCATTGCTACTGGTCTCCGTGCTCACCAGGAAGTCTGGCGGTGCAGTGGTTCAGCAGTTGGAACTCAGCAGCCGCTCTGTGGGAGAAAGATGTGACCACCTGTTCATGGAAAGATCGACAGCCTTGGAAACCATACAGGGTGGTTCTGCCCTGTCCTGTGGGGTCCGTGTGGGTCAAAATTGACAGCAGACCCCCTCCACCCCCACCTGTACC